GTGGCAGCCAGTTGTTTCACCGACAGCTGGGATCTGTAGCTATATCTTAGCCCATCCCTGACATAGTTATAATCCCAGCCACAAGCAGCTTGCTGCCTCAAACCACTTTGTTCCTTATGGAAAGTTCTGTGTTAGGACAGATAGGATGTAATCTTTATTTTGAACCCTTCCCCCTGTAGGCTCTGGTGAGCAGATTGAAGGCAAGAGTGGCAGGACTAGAAAGAAAAGACCAGGGACTGAAGAAGAAACTTTTAAGGAATAAAAATACAGAAATAAAGGAATAGGAAACCCTCCCACTTCTTTGGGCACATCTGCAGGAGATGAACCAGCACAGTTGTCGGGTAAGTGCAGCATTATGTCTGCACACAGAACACTCAGCTGGGCCAAGAAGCCGTGGTGAGGTAGTAAGGCTCCAGCAACACAGCAGGGAGGTAAGCAGCTTCTCCCTATGACCTTTCCCAAAAATGCCTAACATGCAAGAAGGTGATACAAAGCAGACCTGCTCTAAATCTAATGAGTAGTTAAGAGACAGATTCAGAAAATAAAAAATATGAGGAAGAAACTAAAATGTTCTTAAACAGAAAATTTTTGGTCTCAGAGGGAAAGACAGGGTGTATAGTCTTGCAGATGTGAGAGAAATAATCAGAAGCACAAATTCATCACTTCCTTGTTTCTCATACAACATTAAAAAGCTGATGTAAAATTGATACAAAACAATCAACACAGTAAGAATACAGCACCTCGAACTCACATTATACCTGGATAGGCAACTAAACTCCAGGGAAACAGTGTTTCCCTTTCTTCTCCATCACCCACTGTGTCAAAATCCATGGGACCTACTAATATGCAACCAAGGAGAGAACCGGCAGATGAAGCTGCCAAGCAACTATCCATCATATAGAATCATGGAATCATAGAATCACAGAATGGTTTGGACTGGAAGGGACCTTAAAGACCATCTAGTTCCGACCCCACTGCCATGGGCAGGGTCACCTTCCACTAGACCAGGTTGCTCACTGGTGAAATTCCCATTGATTGGAAATGGGGAAATATAACCCCCATTTTTAAAAAGGGGAAAAAAAGGAAGACCCAGGGAACAACAGGCCAGTCAGTCTCACCTCCATGTCCAAAAAGATCATGGGGCAGATTCTCCTGGAAACCATGCTAAGGCACATGGAAACTAAGGAGGTGATTGGTGACAGCCAGCACGGCTTCACTAAGGGCAGATGATGCCTGACGAACATGGTGGCCTTCTACGATGGGGTCACGACCCTGGTGGATAGAGGACGGGCAACTGATGTCATCTACCTGCACTTGTGCAAAGCATTTGACATCATCCCACATGACATCCTTGTATCTAAATTGGAGAGGCACAGATTTTGATGGATGGATAAGGAATTGCTGGATGGTTGTGCTCAACAGCTTGATGTCAGGGTAGAGACCAGTAACCAGTGGTGTCCCTCAGTGGTTCATATTTGGACCCGTATTATTTAATATCTTTGTCAGTGACATGGACAGTGGGATGGAGTGCACCCTCAGCAAGTTTGCTGATGACACCCAGCTGTGTTGTGCTGTTGACACACTGGAGGGAAGGGATGCCATCCAGAGGGACCTTGACAGGCTGGAGAGGTGGGCCACTGCCAACCTCATGGAGTTTAACAAGGCCAAGTGCAAGGTCCTGCACATGGGCACAAATAGACGCTGGGCAGAGAATGGCTTGAGACCAGCCCCGAGGAGGACTTGGGGATTTTTGTGGATGAAAATCTTAGTATGAGCCTGCAATGTGCAATTGCAGCCCAGAAAGCCAACCATATCCTGGGCTGCACGAAAGGAAGCATGACCAGCAGTTCAAGGGAGACAATTCTGCCCCTCCACCTGGCTCTTGTGAGACCCCACGTGGAGTACTGAGTCCAGCTCTAGGACCCCCAGCATAAGAAGGATGTTGAACAGTTGGAGCGAGTCCAGAGGAGGCCACGAAGATGCTCAGAGGGATGGAGCACCACTGCTATGGGGACAGGCTGCGAGAGAGAGGCTTGTTGTTCAGCCTGGAGAAGAGAAGGCTGCAGGGAGACCCAATAGCAGCCTTCCAGTACTTCAAGAGGGCCTACAGGATTTGTTAGCAGGGAAGTGACAGGATGAAGGGTAATGGTTTTAAAGTGAGAGTGTAGATTCAGATTAGCTATTCACAGAGAGGGTGGTGAGGCACTGGTGCAGGTTGCCCAGAGAAGCTGTGGATGCCCCATCCCTGGAAGTGTTCAAGGCCAGGCTGGATGTGGGTTTGAGCCACCTGGTCTAGTGGAAGGGGGCCCTGCCCCCGGGCAG